GCCTATGGTTTGCACTGCAAGTCTGCAGTAAAAGTACTAAACCTGTGCATAAAAGAATAAATCTTTTATCTTGACCGACTGTACGTGAGTACAATACACGAAGACAACTCTTCCCGCCAGCTATGGAATGATATGTTTTCTCTTGCCAAAACTAAATTATTTAGTTTGTGATATTGAGGAACCTAACTGTTCTTTTGCACTAGAACTTAGTTCAATCGATTTACTAAATCGATTTCCTGGAACTCTAGGCAAACTGGGAAATCCTCAGTACCTTCATCCGGAAAGCATTTTCAAATAGTTTAAACTGAACAATATCAATAGAGCCCTCTGACCCGAGGGCAACAGTTCTGTCTTTTTGAAAATTTGTGCGGCCTACTTGGCTCCCACAGTCTTTGCCATGTCTGTCAGAAGGCATACTTGCTGGATCATGGAGTCATCTTTGCATAACTTACATGCCGAAGAAAAAAAGGTAAATTTCATTCAGTCGCATCCACTTCCGTAATAATCCAGGCTCTAGTGGATTATTATTGACGATATTAGATTCGCTATTATTATTTCGAATAAGAACTAGTGTGCCTACTGAAAGTAGGGCTCGACTCGGGATTCCGTTAGCCGTTTCATCCATTCAGCTGCGTTATTGATCGATCAGAAGACTACACTCCACGTCAGCTTCCTAAAACAATAAAAATGTCTTCAGTTCCTTAAAGACAGAACGTTTATTGTCTTGGTTAGATCATTAATGGATATCCCTGATGCTTCCCAATTGGTTGAAAGACCACTTCAGAAACGGATCTCAGTTCACGTATCATACTGGCCATATATATTCTACAATCCCTATAAACCTTCGGAGTATTGCATGGTGCTATCCTATCACCATTTTGTTCGCTTGCTTTGTGTACAATATTCTATCTACTACATCGTACTTTATTTCCCCATAAGCCAACGAAGTTGTGGTTGGTTCTGAATCCTAAAAAAGCATTATTGCCAATCCACTACGAAATTCTATCTCTACGATGAAGGAGTGATTCAAAGCGGTCAAGTTTTCACCTAATCCCAACAAGTGTGCAGAAGTACTGTTTTCAGTTGATCGTAAGTCCGCCTCACAATCAGATTATCCAACACAAATGATAAGAAATTCAAACGAGGATAGAGCTCAGTGAAATAAATATCTTTGTATACTTATCGCTTCACATACAAGGAACTTTTTCCAAGGTGAGACTGGTGACAATTTACATCCGTCTGAGGTCTCTACCGGTGCCTACCCACCATATTTTGAAGCTTGTTGTTTCTCGTTTCATATCACTGACTTTACTTCTCCCCTGTCTTGTATTCTGGTTCGCTTTTCTAAGACTGCATTAATCAAAGGCTTCCTTGAATATATTCTCAAGTGCGGTAACTTATCCCACTCTGAATTATTGAGTTTCTTCGACAAAATATTTTTCTATATTTGAAGGGTTTTGTAGCGTCAAACCTTTTCAAGGACCTACGCCCGCTGAACCCATCTCCCTCCGTCTCACTGTACTCTCCACTCCGATAAATATAGTGAAAGAAAATTGATATATTCTAGAAAAACAAATTTACATAGCTCAGTTACTCCATGTCTAACCAGGATGCTTCTTTTGAAAGAACATCCAGTGAAAGAATTGGGAGAAAAGCTCGCCTAATCGCGATAACCAGTTTTACATATTGTTCTTCTTTGGCAAACACGGCGCACTTATTCAGTTATAGCCATTTTTATTGACACCCATTTATTGCCCTTTTCAAAGCTTTAATTGATAACTTTTCACTGAAAATTTGCTCTTCTCGGACAAATAAAGTGCTCCCCTGACCTGAACTGAAATGCCGCTCCTGGCGATTTATTTTATGACCATCCTCATTAACTACTACTACTACTACTACTTTCACTACTACTACCACTACTGTTATAATCTACAAGTCGTGCCTTGGTAATAGGGCGTTTACTGCAAACAGCTTGTTCAGAAATCGACAAAACAAACTGAATGTTACAAACATTCTTTTTTTGCCAAGTCGCTGTCCCGTTAACTTGAAGACAGTCATCATCCAACGGAGGAGCAGTCGTGTGATTTGCAGGTCGTCGTTTACCTTATTGCGTCTCGACTGTTGAGCTTAGCGATGTTTGTTAATCCACAATTGTCCATAGTTCCGTCTTCAGCAATCAACTACTTACTAAGTAGCATATACACTCCACTGCACTACTACTACCACTACTATTACTACTACTACTACCACTACTGCTACTACTACTACCGATACTACTATTACAACAACAACAACAACAACAACGACTGCTACTACTACTACTACTACTACTACTACTACTACTACTACTACCAATACTATTACTACTACTACTACTACTACTACTTCATATGCTTCGTATCCTACCAGTACAGCTACTACTTTTGTGATAACCTAGAGGATATATCGGATTACGGGGCATTCGTCCAAACTTCGGAAAAAGCTAACATCATCCATCCACAGTTGAATTACTCATTGACATCAAATATATACATTCAACGATAATCCAGTACTAGTTCAATCAAAGTGTTATCATGTTTTGTATCTTTCTCTTATGGCCCACTGTTTCCTGTCTTTATGAAGTCAGTAAGTTCACTAACTCCTTACTGCCAATAGTTGTTTCCGATCACGGATACTACGTCTAAAATAGCACCGGAAATACCAGCCCACTTTAAGCACACCTACTTTCGCTACTACTGGCATCATCGCTAATAACACTAATCTGACTTTAGTAAAATGGAGTAAAGCAAGCACGTACACAATCGTACTTCTTCAAGTCCCCCTCTTGTGAGTTCAAATCTTACTACTTCAGATATGGCAAAACAACCCTTTCGAACCAAACAATGTAAACAATCTTGAAGTACCAGCCTTATACTACCTTATCCTGATAGACTCTAGAGGTAATGAAGATCAATGGGAAAACAGAAAGATGTCCTTGTGGACAAGATAGCGTCAGACAACCAACATTCAATACAGAAGAAGGAGAAGTGACCATTTCAAAGGCTGTCCTCAACAGACGAAATGGATCTTTCCAAACAACAACCGGACACCAGCAGAACCCCAGGGTGACAAACCTATGACCCAGACTGACAGCTTCGAGTCAACACAATGAACCAAGAAGGTCTGAGCAATCCGGCAGTGATGGTTCACAAAGAAACAAGCTCAGTGCTCGAAAACGACCAAAACTGAACTGAAACGCGCAAGCACACTCCAACACAATCCTTGCGGAGTGCGAGTGTGAACTCGATTATTTAGGTAGCTATGGCTTTCGTGTAGTTTTCAGTTGTCTGGCTCAGCTAATACGTTTTGCCTCTGGGCTGTATTTGGTCGTAAAATCGTGCTGAATGAAAAAGAAGTTCTCGAGTCACACTTCATCTACTTTGAAGGTTGGGCGGGAGTTTCCTTAAAGATAGATCTCACTTTTGCTACATTATTCGTGATAGAACTGAGAAGAACGAGTCAACCTGGAAGAGGTTTTTGAAAAAAGCACTGCATTCTCCCAAGAAAATCCCAGCCTACGTATCGCAAAGTCGCACTGGGAGAAAATTTCAATAAATTAAAAGCGCAGATTTTGAAGGCCGATCAACATTGAATTAACAAAAGAAAGTGAATAATGGTCTTCCGTAGTTTTTGCGGTAAGACCTTCATGCCAATTACCAAAATAAAACCTGCAATACAATCGTGAATGAAATCGTGAACTTTTTCACCATGTTGTCCCTTGGATGTCTGCGCAAAGCCATGGGCATTGTCTGTACGGTACACTTGCGAGCCAGTCTGACTGCTATAAGTAACCAGGTGCTCTTTACTGAATAACAGCACCAGGACGCTGGAAAGTCAAAAAACTAAACAATTTAAAAAGGTGTTTTTAACCATGAGTTCCATTATTAAGGGTGTAATAACTGGTATTTTATAAATTCGTTTGCTGTCGGTTGCTAGACCCTGGGGGAAAATCAATAACAAAATACCAAATATAACGAAACAGAGTAACTTAGTTTAATATATTTCATGCAACTAACCTTGTTTCGTTCAGCGCGGTGTTCAAGTGTTTCACAAATGTGAACGAATAAGGTTTGAGGTTTTGAAAATCGTTCCCAACCCTATAATAAGCAAGTCTCTTGAGATTTTTGTACGAAAGTTATTTGTCAAGTGTTAAGTAGAATATACATTGCAATTTATCAAAAGTGCAATATGACCACGAAACGGACAGATATAGGCAAAACTTATTCTTAACTTTTTGTTTAAATAGGAAAACAACCCTTGGAAGAAGTCGAAGCTTTCATCGATTTTTTGGGTACTCCTAAATCTGCAAGGGTTACCGGCCGTATGAATTGGTTGGGAAAAAATTCTCTCGGAAAATTATTCATTTTTACACAGTAAAATTGCCTGATATTTGCTCTATTCTGTTTATTTGCTCCCCCACTAAATTGTAAGAAAATAACCTTCGAGCTACTCTGATTTTGCGCCGCGTGTGACAACGAATCAGTCACAGATAGGTTCGGACCCAAAAAACCGCATAAATCTGTCTCCGTTTATGATGCTTATATAGTTTCCGGACAAAGCTGTTCAGTGACACGAGGATGGCTAATCGGCGCTGAACACGTTATTTCGTCTCTAAGGGATTCTAAATACGGTTAGATAGGAAAAGCGGTTACAGGTGGTTATTATTACTGTACCATCTGTTACCCCGCCGATTTGTTTGTGGTCAGTGGTAGGGTTTGTTTGGGGTATATTCTGAAATTGAGTTTTAATTTCTGACAAACTTCTATTGGGTATACACTCCGGAAAATATGTGGAACAAAACTTGCCACTGATCATTTGTCAAGAGTAGCATGCAAAAAGAACCACTTACAAATGACCGTACGTTAATCCAACTAGGAAATGCAAACATGCGCATATGTCTACAATGAACGTGTGAAAATGTGAAAATCCAACGTCATAGCAATTACTTATTTTTAAACGTCTTACATGTTTCGATTGAGCCACACGGTTTGTTTACAAATATACGTCAAACTTTCCACAAAACAACCGCCACCGTCAGCATCACAGCCATATGAATCGTCATCCTCATCATCATCACCCGAGTCGTCATCATCATCATCATCATCGTCCGAACCGTCCTCATCATTGTTATCATTATCATCCTCTTCAGTAGTGCCACGAATGAAGCCAATTTTCATATTTTGCTTTAAATTTGCTAAATTTGCTGCAGCATCAGTAGACGTGACTGCGGAACCAAGGCACAGCGGTTCACCTTGGCTAACTGAAATTTCCAAGGTAAATTTCAACAACCAACCATGATCGCACGTGAATTAATTTCACGGACTTGTGCTTTGTTCGAAAGCCTTTCCAATTTCTGGCTTTCGGTATCGCAATTTTCAAAATCAGCAGACTCATTGACACACACACATACAGCGCACCTTGTTTCGATGAAAAATGTTTTTGCGGCAATGCGACAGTGGTTGTGAATGTTCGATTTTTGTTTCTTTAGGTCCCAGTCACCACCAAGAACGGGGCTGAGTGACTGGTAAGAAGAAACGACTCAGGAACAACATTTTAAAATCACTTTTATATGATGAGAATATATGCCCGAAATTGTACTCAAAGCATAGAGCTCACTCACACAGTCTGAAACAGAATACTGAAATGTTTGCATCTCATATTATTGAAACGGTACGAATAACGTTCATCGGTCTAGCTGTTTAATAGAAAAATACACAAGCTTTAGGCATTTGGCTGAAAGACCGTGGTAACCAATGCCAATAAGATAATTCTTGTTGGCTTATTATTAGTATCTGAAAAAATTTAATTGTGTGACATTTCTGCTCCCAGAAGAATAACTCGTCTCACTGGAATGATGTATTTCTTCAGGACTCCAAGGCAACTAATCGCATAGTGATAAGAAAATCACCGCTCAGAGCACTCTAGTCTCCCTAATGGACGTTCTCCAAACCTTGCTTTACAGATTATTTGTTAAGGTAATAAAATAGGAATTCAAGAGACAATCATCTTATTGAATAAATATGCTAAATGCTTCGTGTTCCCAAAGTTGAGCATGAATTATTGCGAAGGATGGCTTTGGAGTTGTAAATATGGTCAGTGAAATTTAACCTTACACGTGGTGTAATTGGCATACGCACAAAAGGTAAAATAATGCTTGCGAAGACGGCTTCGGAACACACTGACCGAATATACTCCAGTTATAATCTCAACCAAACTGAGCCATGGTAAATGGTACTCAAGGAATCGAAATATCTTTTAGAGTCATGGATTTTGCAGGGCTTTTCAATCTGTCATTCTCATACTACAGGCAAAGAGCTCACATTCAGTGAATTTAGGTAAGTTCCAGGTGCCTGAACACACACACACACACACACACACACACACACAAACGTTCCTCTGCCATGCTGAACAACGTTATTCTTGAATTAAAATTGCTTATCTTGAGGACTATATTTCGCAGACCATGAACTCATAGATATATGCACTGAACAGTATGTCCCTTTAATGAATTCTCTCGGTGATCGACGAAACATGTAGTTGTTAGCAGAGTCACTTTGCCGTCCGATTCTCTGGTACAAGTGATACCTGAGGCTATTTTCTGAAGAATAGAAATCAAAGAGAAAGTTTGTTGTGAGCCGTCTAGTTGTGCAGAAGAAAGTCCGATGTGCTCTGTTGTGTCAAATCCGCTGAAGTCACCATCGAATATGTGCAGAGTCACCCAAGTCCGAGAGTAACCGAAGTTGATAGAAGACCAGGAAATATTCTGAGTTCATCTGCCTTCGTATCTGGGGTTAGGTAAATGTTAACAATTAGCAATGATCGAAGTCTAATCAGAAATGTGGCTTGCATTTGATAACGTGACAACTTATCTTGTCAGTCGAGTAGTCGCAAACCAAACTGATTTTCTAACTCTCAGGTAGGTGGTAACCGCACTACCGTGATTTCGAATCCTCGTGAGATGATCAGTTCGTAGCACGTGATAGCCACTTAGGGGGACAGTTTCACCCACTAGATCTTCGAGCAGAGCAAACTCTTGATGCATGAAAAATTCGGCTCTTTTATACTCTTTCTTTACCGTTATTTTGGTGAGATCATCTATTTTCCCAACAACGAAAGTGCCTTGTTTGATAACATTAAAGAAATCTGAGATTTCCCTGCAAGGCATTGTCTGAGACCCACTTGCAACGCACACGTTGCTCTAGCTTGATCCATTCCACGTTATCATGATCCAATTGAGCTCATTTTGTGCATCGTTTCCGAAATCATTGGTGGCAGCGGGTTGCGAGATAACAGACAACGAATTTAGAAACGGCCTCTGTAGAATAACATTTAGTGCTATTTTGAATGAATTCAGCAAAAATCGGACAAGTTATTCCACTGAAAACGGTTCAAAATGGTATTTCAGTGAACAACACGGTCTAGTTTGAAGGCTTTCCTATGAGTTGATAGACTTTGAAATATTACCGAAGGAAACGAGTATCCTTTTCACTCAGCCATGTGCAGTCCGTTTATGCGAACTGAGATATGACGAGACCTAATAGTCTTCGGACCTGAATAGAGATATGCTAATCTGCAGAGTCTCCTTTTTCCACTATGATGTTTTGACTGGATTATTCGAAAACATTGAAAAAAGGGTTTTGTTATCGGCTCCACACAAACCAACAGTTTATTCGCAGCTTCCTCTATTTACAAAATGGAAAGAAAACGATTTATAGACCGTCAGCCGACTCAGACGCAATAGTCAAAGAGTGTTTGTGATGTGATCGACTTTCTGCCGAAAAGCTCTTGTTGTGAATAAGAGCGTTTCTGAATTATTTGACCGAAACTGACTATTTTGTGCGCGGATGTTTATGAGTACAATGAGTTTAGATCACGGTTACTTAAATGTGCTCTAAGTTTCGCTGTATAAACGTCCCGATTAGCTTGTACTGCCCTAATCCGACAATAAGTTACAGTGGGTAGGGCAAAGACTACTACTGCTACTATTACTACTACTACTATTACTACTACTACTACTACTGCTACTATTACTACTACTACTATTACTACTACTACTACTACTGCTACTATTACTACTACTACTATTACTACTACTACTACTACTACTACTACTACTACTACTACTACTACTACTACTACTACTACTACTACTACTACTACTACTACTACTACTTCTACTACTACTACTACTACTACTACTACTACTACTACTACTACTACTACTACTACTACTACTACTACTACTACTACTACTACTACTACTACTACTACTACTACTAGAGACCGGAAAATGACAACGGGTGTGTTTAAGCTTATTCAGTAACATTTAATTATTATTTTGAGACCGTAATAGAGGAAAGAATTCGAGCTACTCGTAGGAAAAATCATTAGGCTTCAAAGGAAAATGATTTTGCTAATATGAAAAACCAATCTACGTTACAGGAAATCTAATTTATTTTTGATGGGACCTCTCACGCATTATCAGCGCTCAGTTCATTGTTGAAATCCACGGAAGCAATGAATATCTGTTTGATCGTGGTTGAGAATTATCAGCAGTACACATCCATCTAGCCACTGCGGGGAATGTAAATCATGGTGGCAAATATTATATACGAACCAAATCTTATACTACTTAAGGTGTGCTAATAGATAAGCTCTATAGGTTGTTTTTAGTGAAGGAATGCCTTCATTTCATCCAAGTCCCTAAGCAGAAGCCCTCCGTGCTAGGAGTCGCTCGCCCTGCGAACAATGGATTGTTACCACACAATTGCCAGTGATGGAAGAACACCGTATCACGTAGCGTTATTGTTCAACAAATCGTTCACAGCCAGCCCAGATAGATTGGTGGTACTGTGTCCAACTCACAGTTGTTCACCCAGTGTTCAAGTCCTGGTACCGGCTCGGTGGATATGCTCTGCTGATGATTCCCGACCAGGAAGGTTTACAATAGTGAACGGAGCGTTGAAGGTGCATGGTAAAACATAATACCAATAGTGAGATCAAAGTTGCAGACTAATTGTGGACGAGATGTACCAGTTATGCAGTCGATTAGGAAGGTGATAAAATGAAATGACGGTTCATGATAATAAAATATTCTAAATCATAAACATGATCGTTGTCATTGGAAGTTAAGCCCACGCGTGGATACTGGGGTTTGCTTATTACCGTACGTGTTGCAACCAGTGACGTATAAATAGATCACGTTTACATTTCCAATAATAATTCATTATTTAAAATTGATCTAACAAGCAGCTCTCATGTAATTATCAGGTGGAGTTTAACTCATTCGTTTAGGAATTCTTTCAATCACCCCTAAATTCAAATGGACCTAATTCAATACTATATGTAATTGTAAGATGAGCGGTTGGCCAGTGTGAATAATCAGAGAAATACCCGGAATTTGCAATGTGGTTCCATGATTGAGCTGTTTGAGCTGGGCACGTGGCACAAAAACGTTTGTGGCGACAAAGCCTCTTTGGAAATCCCAGTGATGTTGATCACTTTCCACGTTTATATGTTGTCAGTGTGTAAGCAAAGTGTGTACCCTGAGTTTTCTTAGTTCTGGCATCTTTTTGAAGATTTTTAAAATCAAATCTGCCGACATTTGAGATGGTCCGCGCCTATTGTTGTTCTTTCATGTGTAAGCATATAAAATCCCCTGAAGAACCTAATTGGAATAGTGGATTAATGAGAAGTATCGATTACAGCTTATCATTAACAATGAGAGATTCATTTCTGTCAGGTTAGAAAAAGTGTGAATGAAGGTAGTCATTTGGCGGTCTGTGTGGTTGAACACGATCTAGTTGACAGAAGTGGACCAATCTGACGAAGTTCGACGGAACTAAAACGAATGGGGCCTGGAACCGGTTTGGTTACCATGGACAGTGGTCGTAATTTCGATCACGCTCATGAACGACATGGAAGAAGAGAATGACGTTTTGTTTCTCTCACAAATGTTGTACAGATCGACTAGTGAGCAGCTCACAAGCACATGCATAGATAGTCACGTACATACACACACACACACGCAATGCACAAACGAATCTCATGACATTGTGTTGGTGTGTGTATATACGTGCGCGTATTTTATTTTGACTCACTTGCACGGCCAGAGATACAGCTAGAATATGTGCTCAAAATAGAACCATCGATTCGTGTAGTAGGGCACCCACAATATGCACACACGAACAAAATGACATTCTCAGAGTGAATGTTGTTTTTGCTTGATCAGAATTTGAGAATATTGGTGCTGTGTGTCAGATCGATATTGATCGTCAAACCCGGACTCGTATGATCCGCGGTCACATCAGAATCAAAAACCTTATAGGTAACCCAGTAATACTGCTGCGTGTGCACTTGTAATAATACATTAGCAAGTTTGTCGATAAGACTCAGAATATGACAGATCAGAGGCTATATTTAAATATATATAATGATATTTATCGGCAATCTCTTGAAATTCTTCCTGCATTCATTTACACCGGCTTTTTCTGTCTGACCGCGCCATGCTACCGCAAGCTAGAAAGCGCGTTCTTGTCCATCACCTCTAGGCTGAGTGTGCTATTGTTACGTAAAAGATTGTGTTACAGGGTTATCTTTTGGGACTAAACTGCGACATCACAAAGCAACAGCAAAAATGGAATACTTCTATTTGTGTATATCCCAAATCTTAAAGATTCAGAGCAGTTATTGTCGGTGTCACATGAGTTGATCTATAACTAAAGCATTCAGCTCATGAATCACTTTTTTGAATTACATCAAATTGTTACCAGAAAAGCCAGAGAGAATCAGATTCGGTCACAAATGCATGACAAAACTTGTTCCAGTTTCAAGTTCACTGATAAACGTTATCCCCACTTGTCTACTCACCTGCCCGCCTCCGGCCAACAAACAAGGATTGCAAGATTTTGGAACGGTTTAGACTTATCTACCGGTAAAACTGACCAACGAAATGAGAAGGAAGTTGTAGTGGCTTCATCCGTTCGCTTATCCTGTGGGATTCTGGACTGGCACTTGTGATCACTTGCCTAACTGTAAAGGAAAACGGGTCATCCCGAGGAAGCACGGTCAGGAAAACTTCCCGATAATTGAATAACGTGACCACAGTTTACTGATCTAGAGAGCTAAGTGGCAGTAACCACATGTTGAAAGTCTCCTAATCGATAAAAATGTAATTCAGGAAATTTAAAAAAATGCAACGTTAAAATGTTACATTTATTTGTACCCACGCCTTTCTACTTATCTTTAGCTCTATTTCCTTGAACTTCTTTGAATCATAATCAGATTATTCTGTATAATTTTGAAATGAGAAGGAAGAAAGCAATGTGCAAAACAGTTTAAGATGATTTGGTGCCAACTTAAAAGTCTTCACCTCCCAAATCATAATCTATAGGAGGTACTCGAGGATTTCAACTCCCAGAAAGTTACTCGCGCAAAACGTGACAAGTCGCTGCTCTCTTTTGTACAAATATATTTGACTAATAATATAGCTTGTCAGTGTACGCAATCTGTGAAGCAAAAAAATATTGCTTCCAAGTTTAAGACACACCCGTAAAGGAGAAGTTTTCCTTCTAATTAGTTTCAAGCAATAAACCATTGACGATTCAAATGCAACGGTAAAGTAGTGCACGAATGCTTTGAAATTCCACCCTGGTTTTCTGTGATAACCTTTGAATCAAACCACTTAGAATGACCAAAACTGACGCGCTGATGTGTCAACACATTTTTATACCAAATATTCACACGGATTTTATGCTGGAAACAGATGAATCGTTTTATCCCGGAAAAGCTGTTTCAAAGGGTGCGAAACGTTAGACCAATGCTAAAACACCGAACTGGCTTGCAAGCTCAACGACCTTGCTTGTTAACGGCTCATTTTTACACTCAGTAAAGTGGGATTGAGCATTTTTAGCGTCACGCTGATTTATTCACAAAGTTTATTCCAGCCGTATACTTTTATCATAGGCAGCAACCTTTTACTCATCAAAACAGAGGGATGGCTTTAAGTTCAAGGCTGTCTGATCTGGGACAAGGAAAAATAGTCGCACACAACTGTTCGGGGATAGGCGTACGCCAGACTTCTGAAAACATTATCAATTTGATAATAGATATTCACAGAATTTCAAAAGATTCAAGTCACTAAGTCGTTAAGAAAAAAAGTGAAATTCGAGGAAAAAATCTCCGCACAGGCCATGAGAATACTCTTGCGTGGTGCTTGGAACCAACTGACGACTTCATCGAAGCTGCAGAGATCACTGCAACTGAGTGTAAGCATTTGGCACATAGTCCAACCCCTAGACTAGGCCTCACACCCGCGGTACGAAAAAAAAATGAAATCAATGCCTTGGATGAATAACCGTCATTTTCGAGATCAAGAAGAATTTGTCCGAAATTACATCACGTGAAATGCTGAGTGGAATGATGAGATATCTGGCCATAAAAAGGCCTTTAGTTTCGACAACTTTGATGGAATCATGCACTACTGGCACGAATTCAGAGAAAAAAGCTGGACAGACCTCAGTCATGGTGGTGGTGATTCTATGATGGTCCTGGTTGTGGTTTTTGAAGACAAAAATCTCAGCTAGTAGTCTCAGAAGTTAGGCGGACTGCTTAATCATTCATCAGAAAATTGAATGAATATGTACCCTCTGTGATTCCTGAAAGTTTACAGAGGTTTTCCAACATGGCTGCGCTGCCATACATGCATCCAATCTTATCAGAGCCAAAACATCAAGACCAAGGACTGGCCCGCTCACAACCCGCACTTGAACCGGACTGAACATGTCCGGGGTCTGCCAGTGAGACGAGTCCATGCGAATGGAAGAGTCCTCGTCACTCTGCACGAGTTGAGGTCTGCCATTCTGGGTAAGACCATCCGGAATCCAATTGGAAACATGCCTAGACTTTGTACTTTAGTCATTAACCATAAAGATCACTGAGGTTGGTAACCAACTGATTGTTTTTACCATTGCTCTATGGGTAGATTCAATAGTATTTCACACCCTCTGAGGCACCTTTTCCGGGATAAATCAACTTATCCCATTCATGTCTAAAATCCGTGTGCATATTTGGTGTAGAAATGGGTTGACACATCAGTATGCCAAATTTAGTCACTCTAAGTGGTTTGGTTCAAAAGTATTCGCAGGAAAATAATGTGTTTTTCATAACATTTCGTGCACCATATTTGTATTCTGTAAAATGAAGGTCTTCGTGTTTGTGCTAAATAGGCTACGAAATTCGAATGTGCGAGTCCTTGTAATTAGTCTGTTGTCACGCAGTTCGAATGCATCGATGATTGCGGCCATAAACCAGTAGAAAAATCCCCGTACTCTCGTGCACTCATACGCGTGATTGACAACCAATAATTCATTCGGGGAAATTCAGGGTCAAGGCCGTTTGGTCATTTGAACACTGCCGTGCAAAGAAGGGTGAACTAGACGTTTGTTCAGTTCTGTGGAAAAGCGTGTTCAAGAGAAGCGGGAAAAAGAATGTCTAAAGTGTAAATCACTTTATCAACTGCTTTTAGGGGAAAGAGAAGCTTCTGCAGCCTACAAAATTCGTCCACCCTCTGTGTTGTTAAGAGAGAGAGAGAGAGAGAGAAAATGATGCAGAGATCAACGGACTTAGAGAATCCACGGTTTTCTTTTTTTTGTGTGTGTGTGTTTGTGTGTGTGTGTGTCTAACACGCCAGACAGCCAAACATAATCAGTCGCTGTCCACTTTTCCCAGGAACATTTACCCTGAAAGTAGATGATCAACAGCGCACATACACGTGCAGGCCGAGGACCTCTAAACCGATAATATTGACAGTCAATACATTAATTGTGAAACCCGTAAGAGCTACGATTTTCACTCAGTCCATTTAGATGCTTGTTCACTCGTGTGTACTGTTGGGCCTGGGCTTGCGCGCTTTCGAGTGCTTCATTGTTTGTTTGTTTGTTTGTGTGTGTGTGTGTGTGTGTGTGTGTGTGTGTGTGTGTGTGCGTACGTGGTTGCATTAGCAACTCATGATGTTTTTGGCTAAAGTACACCTACTTCTGTGTGTATGTGCGAGTGCTCTTGTACACTTGTCTGTGTTTCATGCATCGATTCTTTAGGCTTTCGTTTTAAAGATTCCTTTTGTTTGGCAGTAAGCCATGTATGTACTGATAGTTCTATCGAATAACGGGTAGTAAACACATTAGTTCCCGTTCAGTCTATTTCTTATTTCAGTAAACCATAATACCAACGGAAATCATGAACCCAAAGCACCAGCCTGTAAAAACTATCTTTCCCGAATGACTGTCAGTTTTGAAACCTTTCAAATTCTTTCAGAATCCCAAATTATGAATCCTATTATGCAACCAGAAACTCCGAGGATCGTAACGAGACTGGTCTCAAATGTAAACAGGTGGAAAACCTAACCGTGTTTAACACAAAACAGACCGTATTCAAAGGTGCCAGTCTTCCACATCCTCCGTTCTTGTTCACTTCTAAACATGAGCCCATTCAACTAATAAAAGTTCAATAAATGGCTAAGTAAAGAGCCAGCTGCGATCTAACCCTTTAAGCAAGTCTCTGAAGTCGGATTTTCTCAGGGATGGGGCGTTTTAAAGAGAAAATCGCAATTCAACTTTGATGAAAGGCAATCCCGTGGTGGTCAGGCTTCTTTGCATCCCTGATCTAATGGGACCTCACGTGGTTCTCTAATCCAAATTTCATTCTCGGTTCTTGCAGTTTCTTGATAATATGCACTGCACTACTGCAAAAGCTTTGGGCAGAAAAGCGGATGATCTTGGCCGGTAGGCTCTATTCATAGACACTTAGTGTTTTATGAGCTTGCTCATCATGCAGTGTCAGTGCTAAGCTCACCACTGGAAGCCATCTTTTGTTAGAAGTCATCAGCAGTAGTTATCAGCCGGGCCCTGAACTCACAGCAGTCCGTGACGGGTTGTTATCGTTCAAAAGTCAATGAATAAAGCAAACCAGGTCTTTTGGTGCTAATTTGGGACAAACTGTTAAGATCAAGCCCCAAAAGCTTGGTAGTCATGTGTTGGGCTTTCAGTCATGCACTCCGGATTCGAGTCCCCATTGAGAGATCCGAAGAAAAGTTTTTCAATTCCTTGTCGGTCAACTGAGCTCCAGCACTGGTCATATTGGAAGTACTTATCTATAGATCATTTAAGATTTTAGAACACGTGTTGGCATGCTGCTTCACAAGATGGTGTATGGGATAAATAATATAGTTACGTAGAAATGCTCTTAGTTAACCACTGATGTCGTATGCTCACAAGCGAATCGCGTCAGTTAACTGGAAACAGTCGAAACCAGTTTTTCTTGAAAAATTCAATCATTCGGCAAAGTTGGCAATCTCCGCAAACGTTTAGATATCACAAAGAGCATTAGTCACGTAGTCGAACAAGTATATGCGTGCGGGTGCAAGTGCCGGCATAATTACCGGTGGTATATGGACGTGATTGTTGACAGGTATGATCTGGTCCTGTGCCAAATTGGTTTGCCTCGATTTAAAATGATGATGTGGTACAGCTGTGCACGGTCGAGAACTTGATTTCAGGTTCATGTTTGTTCTGTGTTTTAATTGTCCACATCGATCCGTAGGTAAAAAACCAAACGATGACGACGAAGACCAGTCAAACACAGTGAACATATTTAAGATAACACATGAAGAAAGGATGATTTTGATTCGCCCGGCACCTGGTTGACTCACGCGGACCGAGTCACTATTTAGTCGGTAGCTAGACGCGTGTTTCTCTCTTTCAGCTATGTTTTCTTGCATACGTATGGTATCGTCTGTCAGTGGAATGCAGGTTTCCATTTTTCATTGTGATTGCACCACTTCTTACTGCCATTCTATTTTCCATGTTTCTCATGCTGTGAAAGAGATGTTGACTCACGTGAGCCAGGTGATGTATGACAACGACTGAGTGTACGTCTGCATTCATAAGTGTTGTCATGTTAGGATCTAGCCTAGTCAGCACTAATGACGTTGTGATCAAAACTGGACTGGTGAAAAGACACAAGACAAACGACTATCGGCTCGGTCAGTTTGTTCTGAAAGGCAACTAGTTGGAACAGAGAAAACGAAGGAGTTGATTTGCACCATGTATTCAGAACCTTTTCCTTTCATCCGCACTATTCCGGGGATAAGAGTAAACTCTAAAGAGGACAAAAACTGAAGGCAAACTGAAGTACATTATTATTAGAGAAGACAATGGGAGATTAGGGACAATGTTAGTCCACAAAGCAGAGATTATGCAGATAAAAGTTTGGATAGTTTATTTCTGAAGCTAAAACCTTAATACAATAGCTTCAGGTAGGTGTTCAGGAGAATGATGTGAAACGTTTTCTTCAGAATAAAACATTATTTCTTCTGAAGATGTTGTACAATCAAAGATCTAAGTAAATTCTGCTTCGTTGACGACTTCACTATGACAAGTTATTCTCTGCAGCTTTCTGCAGCCATATCGGAAAAGGCTTGGCTACTAGCGGGCTTAACTCTCCTTTTCTTATGTCTATGGAACTGGATGGGCATCCACAGGGAAACTGATGATGAGAAAGGTGTTGGTTTCCTCACCAGTTGGTTTTGAAACAATTAATGTTTCGATGGTTTGAAAAGTGTAATTAATTACAGGGTTCAGGGATCGGTTGACTCAATAGCTTTGGTAACACTGTCATCATAATCTTTCGTCAATGTCACAATGTTTGCCCGTTGAAAAAAAACCTAAACTGAGAGAAGATTCTCGTGTCGAAGTCGCTAAAATCCTCAGTTCAATTTTAGTGCATCCGAATGAGGTTTCTGAACTGCGGGATAACTTGCGTTTAACCTGCTGCCATTCGCGAGTGGGCCATTTACGAAATTGGACAAAATCCGACCAATCACGTGCTGGGCTCTTTGTACGAGTTGAAACTGCTGTGGCCACGGAAAGAGGCGGCTATGAAGTTGATCGCATCAATCCGCCGAGAGTCGCAAACAGAAGAATAAGTCGCTGTTTGGAAAGCAACATGGAATAGGAAAAAGCAGATCTCATAGATGATCAAAGGGGTTTTAGCGGAATCCCAGTAAGCCGTGATATTACCCACTTTGAGTGCTTTATATCGATCTGTCGATTGGGACAAACGAACCAAGGCAGCACGAATGATGCACAGAAGACTATGATCTGTTCTTACAGACAAGTGATAAACATGAAATGAGGGACTAAATTCTATTAAAGCCATCAAACAAACACCCATCTGTTTTGATTGGCGTTACCGACTGAAAATAGATCACCAGCATCAAGAAGTATCCGCTCCAGCCAAGTGGTGTCCTCTCCCCTCTTGTGTTCAAGAATGACATCTTAGATATTCAACAGAATGATTTTGAGTAGGCATACTTTGACAAAAGCTGAAGTAAAGTTAGTGTTTTGAAATTCGACCAAGGTTTAGATCCGCACACATTCTATCTTCCTATCTACGGGTCCGTGGATTTTCGACAACTGGATCAAATTAGCTATACACCCGAGCAGTACCCTTACATAAAATTATTCAGCTTCATGGCAACGGTGCTACTTTCGGTAAGATTCTTCTCTGAACTGGCCGGACTCCACCGGGACACCACACAGAGAGTAGTTGGTTTTTACTTCCGACACTCATTTTACCTGCAGTGTGTAGTTTCAAAAAGATGGAGTAAAATGATTGTGGATAAACTGCACAAACTGGACCCATTAGTTAGCTCGTGAATCTCAGAGCGGAGTTATAATTGTTTGTAAATGGTGTTGTTCCGATTTGTTATAAGACAGTTCAACTGAAACTGCGGATGATACGTTTTGTTGTCATA